CTCGTTGCGCTTGTGAGCGTCGAACCAGTCGATTTCGAGACCCTGCTTCAGCGTCTTGCCCTCTTTCTCGGCAACAACATCGCGCTTTGCATTGAGGAAGAAGCGATGGCGCTTCTCATCCTCCTCGATTTCACCACAGATATCCCAGTCCTCGGGCTTGAAGACATCCTCACCAAGGAGGACATTGGCGTGCTTGAATCCATTATGGAAGAATTTCTCGAACAGGGCGGGGTGGGTGTGGTAAGCAGCCCAGACCTTGGTCGAGGTGACGTCGTGGCCGTCCATGCCGGCGAGGATGAGGTCGTCTGGGCGCATGAGGGCAGCCCACTCACGGAGCGAGGTGACAGCCTTTTTCCAAGGGTCGTTGAAGAGGACGGAGCCCAGAGAGAGGAAGACTCTAGGAGAAGGAATGTCGTCACAGAAGGCGAGGCCTGCCTTGAAGTCACCCCAAAGGCCTGCCATGCGGACGCTGCCGGCCGCGTGCTCAGGGGCAAGGGCCCCGAGGTTGCAGGTGAGGGAGAGGTTCGAGATGTCGAGGGCGAGGTACGTGGCGTTGCGGCCGTGCTTGGCAAGTTCTTTTAGGAGGAAGTTGACCTTGCGCATGTCACTGTAGATGAAGAAAAGAAAACCAATCAGCAAGTAATCATTACCCTGACATATCAAATATAAACAAGGAAGGGAGTAATCTTACCCAGCTCCCAAGTCAATCATGGTAGCGTCGTTGGGAATGTAAACGGTCGCCATCTCCTCGCTATTCTTCTCAAACAAGACCATCTCGTCGCGGGTCTGATAGAACTCGGGGGTGAAGATGACTTCCGCCCAGATGGCCAGCCCTTCATCGTTGTACAGCAGCTCGTCGGGCATGGTTGGGACCTCGACGCTGCCGCCGATACCGGTATTCTCGTGCTTGGCGGCCACGGCAAAGACGCGCTGGAGGTCCTCGAGGATGGCGGAGGACATGCTTCCGCCGCCAATGTCGAGCACGCTGCCGTGAGCGGGCATGTTGACCATTTTTGATTGGGATGCCATTGTTTTCTTTTTTCTTTTCTCTTTCCTTTCTTGTGACTTGAGGTGGACAGGAGATTTGAAAGGGGGGTTGTTGGCTTTGGTACTGCAGGTTGCCGTCTTGGTTGACGTTTCTCCCGTTCTTTCCCGACGAGAATGACGTGGGTTCGAATGTCGGTGAGGAAACGGGTGGTTAAAAATGTGTGAAAGTAATGGCAATGACAATGGACAGGAACAGTGTGACTTTTGTGTAGGTGGCAGAGTAGAAGTTGATGAGTGTTCGTAAAAAGGGAAGAAGCTCAAACGATGGAGCTCCCAGTCGATGGCTTTTATACATAATCTCCCTCTTCGACTGAGGCAACGTTTCTGCCACCCCAGAGAAGAACTCCTGAATCACTCGTCATCAAGAGCATGCCGTTATTCACGTTTTTCTGCACCTTCCCTTCCCTTAAACCCACACTGAACCCCCTGTCCCCTTCATCTCATCTCATCCTCATTATAAGACCTGCGATATGTGAGTGGATGGGGAGGGGAGGGGTGGGCATGGGAGGTTTCTCCTTACGCCTCTCCCCTGGCAAACATATATTTGCACAAGCGCGCCGAGCGAGGTAGGCGGTGGTGTCTGTCCACATGAAGCCATATCCCACTCGGCCCTCGCTCTCTCTCTGGTTGGGTGGTAGCCACGAGGAGAAGGAGAATGATGCAGGCACGTAGAAATACCACTGACGATTCAAGACAAAGTGCCAAATCCCTGACTTACACCAAGTGATCCCAAGCAACCCCCACCCTTGGCCTTGGCCTTGACGTTACTCGATCGCCGACTGCGAAAAGAGGTTAAAAGGGTTTCAGCAGCTTGAGCAGCTGAACAGCCCAAACAGAAAAGTCAGACAGGCAAACAAGAATGCAACGCCCAAAGGTACCTAACCACCTACCTTTTCTCCAGCCCGTCGATCGTCGGTGAGATGTGGAATCCACGCCTCGTCGTGTTCGTGGACGGGTACGTTTCCCGATGAGACGTCTCTCCTGTTCATACTTGGGCAAACCCAGTTAGCCAGGCTCATTTGACAGCCTTGACATTTCAATGACAGGGCCACGCTAGGTCCGGCGCGGCCCTCCTCTTGTCTCATTCCTCCTCCATCCTGCGCCAAGGGCGTCACCCTCTTTCTCGGAAACGTCACCTTTTTTTGGTTCCTTGACCGGTTGGATGGGACCAAATCAACCCAACTCAGGGGGAAAGACAAGACAACGAAGGCGTTCCAAAAGAAACAAGAAAAAGACCAAAGGTGTGTGGTTGGACAAGGGGCGGTGGTGGTGGCCACCGACGCCGCAACGCGGGGGTTGCAGTCAACGCGAAAAAGGAGTGAGGACCGGGGCCGTTTCGGGGGTCGTCGGAGAGAAAAGGTAAAGAGCTCGGCGGCGTAGATCATGCGGAGGCGGGTAGCACGACCGAAGTTCCGCACTTCTGCTTTCCTATTGTTGGGTCACAAACGCTGGCCATTGTGCGCTTTCCCACTGACACCCACAAACATTACAATGTTGCTGGGCCTGCATGTTGGTTTCTCAGGGCAAAGACGCGGCACCTGGTTAATTGGTCCTGCAGTTTGCCTATGCAGCGGATAAATAAGTATGGCGAGATTCCACTTCACAAGAGGTCATGATGGGGCGAGAATGAGTTTTGGATCCGAATCGCGCAAGAAACACTCTCGCATATGCGCTGGCTCGCTGGCCTGCTGGGAGAATGGGTAGGATGGATGGCCGCCGGCCGATATCCTTTCCTCGGTCAAGACAAATGGACGAATCCGACGCGACCCCGCGGCTGATTGATCGAGACACTGTCGAATCGGGCTGACATCCCGCACATTTGACAGCCATGCCCATAAGCTCGGTCAACCTAACCTGCCATCCACGTAGGTCAAAAGGTGCACATCGCTCCCCGGATGAAAGACGTCGGGCTCATCTCTCGAGACTTTATAACCGGGGAGGTGGGTTTCGTGGGTCTCAATGTCGCAGATATGACTGGCTATCTCGCGTGATTCTCCCCGTTCAGAAGGGGGATGAGTTATCGTATTAATTAAAAAGCGCATCTTCACCGAGCTTCGACTGTCTCAACGCCTCATTTCCCGTCCCCTATGCACCGCGGATCTCTCAGTAGGTTTCTCACATGTGGTTTTGATGCAACGTATCAGGCCTCCATTTCAAGAACGGCAGGCCAAAGCAATCGATAGGCATGTAGTGTCAATTGCAGCCTCTCCAAAGCCAAGTTGACGAGGTCCAGGTGCCCCTTTCATACGGATGTGGTCAATCCTGTCCGGCCGCAACACGTTTACTCGGCACGATTGGTCTGTGTGTTTCTGGGCCGTCCTTGGGCACTACGCACCGGCTCCGGGTTGGCTTTACGGAGCGGTCCGCCTAGTATCCGTAGGGAGATGACGAGCAACGCAAGGCCTCTTGATGGTCTTTGCGGTCGTGGAGATCGACCGCGGAATGTAACCCTGGGGGGCTGCAAATCCCCAAGCTTATCGTTTGTCCGGTTGAGACCGGCCTGGAGACACGACTCAAAGATGAGAATGCTCCTTCATGGCCAAGGACTGATGATGCACTTGAACCGCCTGGGCCAGTTCGCGTTATCCCATCAAGGGGGCATGTTAGGGGTTACGGGGTCTTGCTTATTGGCGGAGCTGCGGTTGACCCCAGTGCAGATGTCTCGCCTTTTCTAGCCACATCGGGGACTTGTCTGGCGGGTGACTTGCAACACCTGCTGGTCTGACTGGGAAACCGCACCACGGGAAGCTGATTCGTCGTCAAACGACTCCTTGAGCGACGAGGAAACCGGGCAAAGAATATCGAAATGCAGCCCTGACTGAGCTCAGTGCTTTGGTGAGGATGTCCCCGGAACCTTCGTTGGACCGTCACAGCGGGCCTCGGAGAATTGGCAGATGCCCACGGCCGCTCGGCAACGTCAAGCCAAACCCTGGAACCTGATCCAAGCATGAAGGTGGCACAGCCTGGTGCGGAAGGGCCAACGTTTCTGCCGCACGCGCCTCGGAACAACGAGTCCTGCGGCCGGGTCCTCATTCTCGAACACAAACATGCCCTTCGTCTGGCGACGTCGAAGGGCTGTAGGCACAAAGCGCATCGAGTGTGTTTTCTTGCAGGTTTCGGGTGGTTTGAGCGCCCCCAGACTCGCTCATCCGACTGATCGAATTACTCGGTAATTACGGGTGAACCATGGTGTCGGATGTCGATGATTCCAGCCAGACGGACGCGACCCAAGCTGACCGGGGTCGGCATCGCTCCCGCAAGATCGAGGTTCCCTGTTGAGCGGCCAAACCGCGCAGAGTCAGGCTAGATCAGGCAGCCTTTCTAGCTGAGCCATCGTCATGGATCTCCCCGCTGGAGCCCGTACCGTTACGCAAGGCCCATGAGAGACGCTACGACGCTCGCTCGCAAGTCAAAGGCAAGGCTGATGGAGCGAGGCAAAGCTTGATAATCGACATTTGAGGCTTTATTCACCCGAACAGCACAGATGGGTCGCATTCTAGGTTGTCTGCGTAGGTATGATAGCCTCGTATTTGAAAATCCGGAGGGATTCAGCAGCTCAATCCTGGCATGGAATCATATCGATTCAACGTCCTTTTTTTGTTCTTTTTCTCTTTTTGCCTGTTGATTCCAATGACTACTGGCAAGTCTGATGACCGCTGCACCACGCTTACGACAGAGAGCAAACTATATTCGTACCATGAGCTGGAAGAGGGAGGTGGGTATCTCCCAGCGGCCGTCGGCCCCGATGAGGGTGTGGAGCAAGCGGCTCAACCTGTGAAGTTTGAGGATTCTTGACTCAGTTCTCGCCATTCGGCCGGAATGAACCTTTGATGGTGGTTTCAGAATTTGAAGATGCTTCAGCGATCAATTCGCCCCCCGTGCACCTGGACGGGACGAAGAGACGAAGGTTGAGATGACCGTTGTTGAGAGCCCAATGCTGCCCAAGGTGGAGGTCAACAGCCTCCAGTCCGGCCGGGACTCGTCAACAGGCGACTTCTATGGGAGGTGGTGGCGGCGGCGGCGGCGCCGTCGATACCTTCCAGAAGCCAGATGGAAGAAAAGGAAAAAGAATCAGACGCGTGTGTGCGTGTGTGTGTGTGCAGCCAGCGTGACGTTTCCATCCCCGAGCGGCAAAAGTTGGACGCGTTGCCTGCCGATCTCTGCCCTGTATCTTTTTCTTTGCGTTTTGCCCGCGACGGGTTGTCCTCCCACCCGCAAGATGGCTTTGTACGAAGGGATCATTACTGGGGTGCCAGGCCTTTGCCGCGGCCTCATGAAAGTGCTTTGTAACTGTACGGTTACGGATGTAGCTGCTGAATACCAGTGGATTTGGACAATTCTGGTGTGTCGACCTTTTGCCTTGCTGCCAGGATGATAGTGGAACAGCGGAAATGCCGGTACCGCCGCAGAGTGGTCCAGCAGAAAAGCATGTCAAGGGTTGCCCATTATGGTTGACGAATCCTGGACTTTGATCGTTGAGGCATTGTGTACCCGGGGAGGAAAGTGTCCATGCATCACCGTCTTCCCAGCGAAGAGGAATGTGCGCTTCTGTCTGGGGTGGCTCCGTTGTTCTTGATGGTGGTGGCTGCTGGGGATCAGAACGGCCAACGGGCGGGCCATAATGTTGAACTTTGCGACCCTATAATTTGACGATAGCCATCAAACCCTCATGGAGCAAGCATTGATGAAGGCCTGGCCATGAGCGGTTGACAGCTCTCGAGTGCAACTGTGCCCTTCAAGGAACACACGAAGACAGCGTAACACAGCCGGCCGGCGGTCATCTCGGATTCAGTTCATCCCACTCAGCTAAGTTTAGCTAACAGACGCAGTCTCCTCGTGTGAGTGGGTCTAACGAGATTTAACATGCACATCCCTTCAACTGCCGGAGCCTTGTCTGGCACTCCCCGACTCCTGAGCCAGTGAGCCTTGACCTGACGTTGTAACTCATCGCCCTCGCCTGGTCGATGCCAGGCAAGGCAAGCAACGCAAGGCGAAGCTAGCGCCTCCCCGTGTCGTGCCAATGAAGGGACGGGTTGGTGTTGCAACTGACAGTGGTCGAGATTCCCAAAGGCCACGATTCGGCACGGGCGTTTCATGCCCAGATCGAGAAAAAAAAAATAAGGTGGTTGTCTGCGGAAATGGACGAAAGTATCTCGACGGAGCGTCCGTTGATGGAGAGAGATTAGGTACTCAAACTGCTGCTCGCAGTGGCTGCGATTGAGGGCCTGGGGCGCAACTATTGGTTATACCCTCGTGGTGAATGTCTGAAATTTTTTTATCCTGACTAGCTCGCAGGCGGGACGCATCCAGTTGGCTGACATGTGTATCCGCCACAATACATTCCCCTGGGTGGACGTCAGACTGACCGAGGCTTGGCCTTTATTGAAGTCTCTGCCGCATCAATTGAAGATACACCGCTCTGTACTCCGTAGTCTAGACGGATACCTGGGTGATTGGGGGCGATTCTGAACGGGGCATTGATTTGGGTACGGTAGATGTGATGGGTCATCCGCTGATCGTGGTGGTGATCAGGCCCAGTGTTCGTCTGCTGTGCCAGGCCCGACGGTCCCCAGTGCGGCACGGGAGACATCTGGCTAGAAGACGGGTATCTTTTTTCTCTTGCATTGAAGGGTGGTGACGGACGTCAGGTCGTTCCGTGTCACGCGTATATCCGTGAGTGAGGGAGGCCCGATTGCAGGGTGTCGGCGCGCATCACTGGCTTCGATGTCGAATCGTTAAGGGCCAATTTTCAGAGTCCGAGAACCGTCTTGCTACTTCGAGCGAACTTATGCGTTGAACCGTCGTCGACGACCGCGATACCTATTGCTTCTTGGCGCCTGAGGAAATAGACGTACGGATACAAAAAGAATGGACGGAAATAGACGTGATCTTCGGTTTCGCGGCCCTCACCGAAGCTGCTAGCATGACAAGGCCTGCCAAGGCTAAAAAGACTGGTAAGTATCAGACAAGGAATCCATGAGCATGGGAAGTTGTTTGGGTTTGGTCAATGGGGTGAGACCGTGAGAGGACAATATGGATACAGACACAGATACCAGTACAATCTGCGGAGTATAGGGAAAGGGAAGAGCAGAGGCCATTTGCGCTTGGCCTGCAAGTGCCTCCCTCTGTTCGCAACTTCGCATCACGGGGTAAAAAGCACCACCTGCCGGCCGCAGCTGACGAGGTGTAAATGGAACAGAACTTGCTAGGCAAGGGGCAGGCACTGGCCATAGCCCCATGGCATGAAGCTAGATCCCGCTGAATCTCGCTGTATCGAAGGAGGCCAGCAACAGGACACGGTCAAGCCACTGGGGGAGCAAGCACCCCGCAGCTGTCCACCCAGCGGTCGAGAGCGCTAGACGTGTTCGTACAGTTGGACACACTGTCCGGTCATGGCTTTACAGTGTGCGGACTGCATGCTGCCTGAGTGACTTGGACTGTCGAGGATCCTCCATTGTTCAGTATAGACACAGATACAAAGGAAACATGAGCGCCCTTACCTGAGAGTAGACAATTCTCCCGCTACCAAAGGCATCGCTGGCTGCTGGCGAGGAACCTGGAACGCCGTTGAGCCAGAGAACAAACTTGGCCGTAGTAAGCTCAGGGGTCGCGTAGCACAATCGTAAGTGATCCTCCATGGAAGGATGAATAGAAAAGAATCCTGCATGGAACAATCATGGAAGCTGTTCAAGCCTCCAAGCTCAGGCGGTTGGCGCACGCCAATCTTCCATCCCTTGCCAGCCGCTGCCGATGTGTCTAGCGACGGCTATTTGCGCTAGAAGTGAGGCATCTCGCTTTAGCGTCGGTGCTTGAGCTCCCCGTGTTGACATGGTCGAGTGCTTGATAGATTGTAAAGTGGTCAGGGGTTGTGTTGATGCCCGCGTTGCTGCTGATGATGCAACGGCAATCTGCATGCCGATGCGCAAGCACAGAGAGCATGGAGTCGGATCCAACTCGTTACCGCCCAAGACTCGACCTGGATCCCAATTCCATCAGCTGGCAAACATGCGAGATACACTCAACCTGTATTCGTCACCACTAGTGCATGGCGACCAATCTGGGCATATCTTCTGAAACAGATTGTCCCGACACGCCTCGCAGACTGAGTCGTACACACACGATTTAGCTCATGTTTGCCGTTTGGGACGAGGCGTGATGCACCAATTTGGTTGCAGACTGCCCGCAACCAACTCACCTCACCCAAACTACAGAGCACTAAGCTGAGGTGAGGCACGGTACTCTGTATATCCGTACCTTGTCACCTAATCGTTTGACAGCACACCTCAGCAGAGTCTCCTGCCTCTGGCTGACCGCTTCGCTCATCTGCTTTTGCGCCTGTTCTTAATCTTGAATCGTCCGTGCCACGTCGATTGATCTACTCACAGTCGTGCGCTAGCTCTCCTACCTCTTTGCGGTCAAGAGGTTGGGGGGACTAGGGGTCAATGCCACCAAAAGCTCGTGAGCTTCGACAGATTGGGCTGTCTGTAACCGTAGTTGGACGGCTCGCACAGACAATCGTTGTTCAAAGTCGCCTGCGGCAATCTCCGCTGAGGCTCGCTAGTCCAAAGACCTTGTCACCTGGACCACCCCATGGACCATGCATGACGGTTGTAATAAGCCGTGGGTTGCTTCAGCCGTGGGAGTCTGGGAGATGCCGTGATGCGCCCGTGCCTGAGCTGAGCCCTGACGAGGCGGGTACGGGTACTGTGTGCAATAATCCGCAGAGGGCCGGCCGTCAATGGGCCTTTCAATCAGTCTGAGCTTTCGGGAACAGAGCCGCAGGACATCACCTTGACTGTGGTCGACAAGGTCCTATCTGCCAGTCTGGTGCCTTTTCGTGAGTGCTCTGGCGCCTGATGCTTGACGCTGGTCATGCGGCGAGCCTGACTGCATCGCAAATCGTCCAGTCCTTCAACATCCAACCCTACTCTGCAGCCGGCTGTCCCGTTCGTAAGTCAAGGCAGCCATGCGAGCATTCGAACGGGCGGCCAGGGCGACAAACATACGTCCAAAGCCCTCGGCGCGCTGTCAACGGCGTGTTTGAGGCCTCAAGGCCCGTTCTTGACACACGCCCCTTTGCCATGGATCCCAATAACGGTAAAGCCAATGGGCCAGTGGGAGACGGGCCCCCAGTCTGCGCGCGCGAGTGCCCCCCGGTTCAAGGCTGATACGACACAAGGTGCCTGGCTCTGGGGCCTTGCCTTGTGCAGCAGAAAGTCCGTGTAATCTTGTGCTCGTCGGCCAATTACCCGGGGGGGGCCTGTATTCATCCAACCTTCTCGAAGTATTCCAGAAGGAGTGGAGAGAAGAAAGAGGCCTTCCAGGGATAGATTGACATCGAGCACCCCACCCTCGTCGCAGATGAAGCAGCGAGACGGCGGCGCAGCCCATCCCTTTGACGCAGCTGTAATTCCACGGCGGCTCACACGCCGTCGATGCCTTCTAGAAGAATTCTGGAAACCTTCCCCGCTAGGCCTAGCATCAATCTCCTGGCTGCATGCGAGGGCCACTAGGCCTCCCCACGCACTCAACTTTGCGCCAGGTTTGTGCTCACATCCCTGTGGGTTTCGGTCAGAGATGCTGGCAACACCCCTTTTTGGCCATTGCTCCCTAGCTCTGATGTTCATTTGTCCTTAGCGCAAAGGGCGGCCCTAAGAGTGGTAGAGTCCTGGGACATGAAGGTCGTCGCTAAACAGACGGTACCTGCGTCTTGATGTCGTCGTCGTCGTCGTCGTCGTTGTTGTACCTTTACGCGTGACAACTATGAGGACATCGCAAGCCATGCATATTTGTTATGAGCTTGCCCGTGTTAGGTGATGCCAATGCAGGGCTTCGGTCAAGGATAACCAATCCGAGGAGAAATTATTCGAGTACGGCCGTCGCGTCACTCGACTCTGGTTTTTAATTATTCCCTACGCTACCGAACGTTAGCGTGTAGAAATATTCACCCTTGGAGCTCGAGAAAGTCGATGTGGCATCTTGTTACTTTGAAAAAGACATACGGATACAGGGCCAGAGACGCACAGAGTCGCCAAAGGTTTCCGAGATATTCAGTTAAGAATAAAGACGAAAAATGAGGGGTAGCAAGCGGTACGACAACCATCGAGGACGTTGAGAAAGAACCCATTGCAAGTTATTCAACTGTTGTCCTTCTGTCTCTCTTCCGATGTGCCAATCTGTTTGTCATCCCAAGAGCCGTGGGCAGACCCCGGTTCCAATAATTTGGGCACATGACAACGGTGACGGCATCAGCCAAACCATCTTGTCAACCTCGAGCCGCTTGTGCCTGATTGTCGGGCCTCTGCATCGACATCGACACGGCTGTCCACAGAGTTTTTGGCAAACAGCCAATCTTTTCCAGAAGCAATGGAGCCCTTCCACGACCATGCCCCTTTGAATCTTTGGTATGGCGGAGCAGCCGGGAGTCCCTGCACCTTGTACTGTCGCACCCTCGCACCTTTTACAGGGCCCTTGGATCGAGATTGGCCATGCTAAGGCATCCATACGGCGTAAAACCTGGCTGTGCGCTAAACGTCAGTGACAAGAGCCGGATAGGAATGGGCAAGAAATAACAAGCAGGGGGTCGTTCAAACAGCTCCAGCGTAACTTTGTTTCGCGACTTTGATACGTGCTCTGAGGGTAGTAGCAAATTTGGAGGTGTCCGAGCGTTCATTGGATGGCACTCTGCACCTCGTTGCCGTAACATTGCAGCCCGGCATAATTAATGGAACTTGTAGAAGCGGCCGCCAAGAGGAAGTCAACGCAAACAAGAGGGAGGCGACAGCATCTGAGGCGGCTAGGTCGCGGGTTCTCTTGATGAGTGTGATGCGTGGGAGATGAGTGGTGAGAAGAGGTGCGGTCAACCATCAGTGTTCCATCTGTAATTTTCGCCATGGGAGAGCAAGGGTGGATATTTGGACTCGCGAGGTACTTTGTAGTGGATGGGCAGTTGTATAGTCAGTATTGGAACCCGTATTGTTGTATACTTGTATGTACTGCAGCGCAATGGCGTTGCGAAATGGAGTGGCTTTGACCACACTCTGTCTGTCCTCATTGACAGCGTACGCTCGAGGGTGCTCGGCCAGCGCCAACGGTGACTGCCCAATCGAGAAGGGCAGTGACCAAATGGAAGCTTTGGAACATTCGTCCGGCGCAGGGTCAAAGCACCGCCAAGTCTAGCTTATCTGATGAGCTTTGAGTGCTGCTGGGTAGCGGCTCATACGGAGCACTCCGTAGATGCTTGCTTGCGGACGTAGTCATCGATAGGCGGGCAGCATATTCGCGTGCGGTGCCGAATGAACAATGGTTGATACGTGTCTGGCTAAGAGGACGAAGACATTTTGTCTTTCATCATTGACCCAACGTGGTTGATCGAATTCGAAAGAAAGCAACGCAAGAGTGGGTTCTCTAGGTTGCCACACAGCTTGGCCGAGTGCTGGACCGGAGGAAAAGCGATTTGAGGGGAGGCAAGAACTGACTCTCGACTCTCGACTCTCGAGGCAAAGGAAACACATGCGAGCACCCAAGCCCCTGGTCCGCCCTATCGTAGGTTTTGTATGTGGGGTTGCGAAAGGTAAATTGGATGTGCCATTCTCGCTCCTGAGTGGGAGAGGAGCGACCCACTACCGGGGTGGAGATGATGGCAGAAATAACCCGATTGTTTGATGATGACGAGGCAAAACGAGAGAAAGCCAAATAGCATTGCTGGGGTCTGTGTTAGGCGAGGGCAGCTGCCAGGCAGCCGGAGGCATACTGTGTGCATCCGAGAGGTATCGGTAAGGTAAGGTACGCAGCAAGGCCTGTCGATTTGGCGAGGCACCCCTGAGCTGAGTGGAAGGATGGAAGAAAAGAAGGGGGTCGAAGAAGTTTGAGAGTTGGATGCATTCGTACAGTATTACTTTGCGTCTGCATGGCGGCGGGCTGAGGGTGATGATGATGAGCAGCGGAGGTGACAGCGGTAGCGGATTCGAGTGATGAAAGATGGTCCCCTATTCCCCTTTTCGTCCATTGATGATGCATTGCGTGCAGATTGGTCTGACAACGAGCGTGATGTTTGTCTGCATTGTCGAGGGCCCATTTGTCAGTTGTGTTGATGGTGTTGAGACTCGAGGGCAGTGGCCTTGTGATGCTCCGTCGGCGTTGGCAAGCTGTCAGCCGCAAACTGTCGATGGCACCCCAGTACAAAAAGTCAGCCGCAGGGCTTTGGCAGAAGACAGCTTGAGAAGAAGCAGAACAGGAGGCATATCGGATGGGGGGAAAACATAGCAGGACGTTGAATGAAGTTGTCGCTTCATATCCGTACGAGTGTTTTACTCTGTACTTCACAGTGAAGAAGGTGCGGTGTCGTGATAGGTACTTCTTCTCCTGTTGTATGGAAAAGGCACACGATGTACATGTGTTGAGAGGCATCAGGGGCAGGAGCAAGGCAGTGTCTCCTTCTGGCCACTGACACTTGCCATTCAAGTCAATTACCTTGGCAAGCCGCTGCGTCTAGCGTTGCCTTGCAAATCTGTCCAGGGGAAGTTGATGCCGTCACTTTCTCTCTTCTTCTAAGGTATCCATAAGAGATGCATGGGAGATGGGAGGCGCAGAATAAACGGTTGCTTCACGCATAGTTAGGTAGAGCTCGTAAGATGGTCACAGCCCCTGGAGGTCGGCGGTGGCCCAACCGGCAGCACAGAGACGATCGCCGCCGACTCCAGGTTGAGCAGGCCCAGCAGTGTGGAGCAGAGGCAGGGAAGCTGAGCACTGGAGCCCCCTTCCACTTGCCGAAGAGACAAGATCGGCCTCGCACTGTCTGTTCTGTGTACACCGTGCATCGGCAAGGTACGGCAAGAGCAGTCGGTGGCAGGCACACTTCAAGGTACCTCGATATTTTGAACATCGTCACAGCCGGTGCCGGCCAAGGTAAGGTAGGAGAGGGAGAGGATGGGAAAGAGAGGGAGTACCTTACGCAGTAGGACATGGGGCGACGCAGAAAGAGAGAGAAAAGGGCGAGGAAGGTAGGTACACCAGCAGTGCAGGGGCGAGTGGAGAGCTCCAAGACAACAAGGGAAACCTGGAAGGGGGCAGGCCGCACGCACCCTCGTACCTACCCATAATCGGTTCATGTGTCGTTGCTCTTTCCATGCGGCAACACCAGCCCGACCCGACCTAGAAAGTACCTCATGACCTCTAGGTGGGTGCTGCGGTACCTTACCTTAGCATGATGGCTGTCTGTCTCCATGTGCTACCTAAGTACCCAAGTATCCAAGTGCCTTGCAAAAGTGCTGCGCGTGAAGTGTGTTCCATTTGGACGTCTCCTTGTACCTTCGTACCCATGTACTTCTGTACCTTACCTCGCACCCCCGTTCGTTCCTGCTTCAGCGTCAATGGCCCCAGTTGTCCCAGCTAAACCGTTCGTTTCAATTCACCAAGCTTCCGCACTTGGGATCTCACTTGACCTGACTTGGGGGGAGGGTGCGCTCTCTGGTTCTCGACATGTCATGTACCCTCTCTTCTTGTTCCAAGACTGACGATACGTGCGTTTTGCGTGTGTGCGCAAGTCCATGTGTGAGTGTGATGTGTGAGGACATCGTCTGTACCTTACGAATAGAGACGGTTGGTATCTGAGGTTTGTGAGAGATGTGTGTAAGGTAGGTACTGATAGGCGTGGTTGCGTGGTGTGAGCAATGGGTCAAGCAGCAAAGGTACATGTTCGCCCAATTTGCATGCAAGAAACTCATATTACACGCTGTCCTCTTTCCTCTTTTTTTTTTTTCTTTCCAATTTCTCATATCCATAGTCTGATCCGTCTACCTCTTTTCGTACCTGCGTATCCGAACGACATTGTTCGATTCATAAGATTAATAAGGATTCCGACGCCAGCCCTCTTTCGATCCATCCATCCCACCCATCCAGCAAGCTACTACAACGCAAAAGCCAAACCAGTCATACATACCTTACCGTACGGATACTTTGTGTACCGACTCGACTCGACGACTCGACGTATCGACCCCATTCTTTTTTTCTCACCGATCCGTTTTACTACGCAAACCACACCAGTCCCTCAGGTGCAGGAACAGGAGTAGGGGCCAGGAGCAGCAATACGGACAGGCCCAGTAACAGCAAGCTGTATCCGTACTGCGTGTGCTGTGCGTGCCGTGTCCCTAGGTACATCGCACACCCCTCCCCCCTTCCTTCCATTATTCCTTCCTTTCTTCCATCTCCCCCCCGGTCTCACTAAAAGGATCGTCTCCGTGGTTGACATTTTTATAACACCTGCCGAACCCCGTCCGTCCGTCCCTGTCTGCGCTCCGCTTGCTGCGTCACAGCTTCTTTTCCCTTCACCTTTCCCCCTTGCTCTTTCCCATACAACGCACACACAACCCTCGACCCTCGACCCTCACTCGACCCTTTGCACGCCAACGCCAACGCCAACGCCAGCGCCAACGCGCCAACTCGCAACCCAAACGCCAAAAAGCCAAGGGCCGACCTTACACCACCACCTTGCTCCCTCCTCTCACCTTGACTTCCTTCTCCATACATATTCATACCCTTCCTCTGCCTCTGCAGCACCGACAAAACTCAGGTCAACCGTGCTTTCTTTTTTCTTCTTCATTTTTGTCCCATTCCTCCATTTCCTTGCGACGGGCAACGTTCCCATCTCCAATCCCCAGAAAAGAAACTCCCCTACGCCTACCGATAGTCATCCTTGAGATACCCATTGCTCTCACTCTCTGCAGTAAGTCGAAGCTTCATGTTTTTTCCTTTCATCTATCCCTATCCTCATTTTGCATTCGCATACCGGTACGCCATCCCTTGCCGTCTACTCCTCGTCATTACGCTTCGAGGCCAATGTCGAGTCCCAGACCGAGGCTTCCCTTTCACCCTCTTTAAACCACCACTTGTTGTTTTATTATTGGCTTCACCTTGCTTCCGCTCGTTAGTCAACCGAAAGTGTTTTGTCACCGCGTCTTCCATTCTTGTGGCTGTGTCGACGGGCTTGTTGGCCGGTTGCTGCACAAACGATACGTACCCTGCACCTACACCTGCCGCGCCTCCTGGCTGTGGCTGCCCTGGCTTCTCATGCCAGGTGCTGCTTCAGCAATTTTTCCCGCGCTTTTCCTCATTGACCCACTTTTCCTTCCCTAACCCTGCCGGACCGTCTGCACCCCCGATCAAGGTTTCTTGGCCCCTGTTACCTCATCTCTCGTCCGAGACCTCCTACACGCGAACTTTGACAAACACCCACCCATCTCTCTCGACACAACTGGTCAAGCCCTCGGTCCGGAGGCACCAGTCCTTTTTTTTTCTTCCTCTTTACTCATCCTTTGGCTTTCGCACATGCTCTGCTGTGCATGCCACATCAACCTTTTCTCTCGATTGTCTACTGTTAGGTGCCGACGAGATCACTAACTAGTGGCGCGTCATCTAGATCATATTGACTGAGCCGCCCTCTATACCTTGACTATCCCTCTCATTCTCCTTTCCCGTCACCCGTCGGCTCAATCACGCATATCCGAAAGAAAGGCATCCCCATCCTTTCCTCAAATACGACAAGCGATCAGCACACGTCTTGACCCCGTGACTTCCCGGCGTATATGTGGTGGGCTGTGCCTTCGACAGACAAAATTTTCTATTGCGCCACGTCACGATACTGAGTTTTGACGACGCTGGAGATCGCTATATATCTCGGATCACCAAAAACACAACCGATCAAACGAGCATTCCGGTTAGAGATCCGATTGATCATCACATCGTCAATTCTTCAGTACGGTCCAGGCGAAGCTCAAGCCTAGTCTTCGAGAACGAGCAACATACTGGTCTGTGATCTGTGATCGGTCTGTCCCGGATTTCATCCATCATCCGCACAAGGTAAGCCTGCGAGCGAAACCCGTCAGTCTGATTCAAATAGCCCGCCGCCGGGTACTCCTGGCACACCTAGTCATGCCACAGCCCAACTCAGGCTACCCCCGCCCTGGAGAACTCTACACAACCCTGCCTGTGGACGCTGCTCAAACGCTCCCACCCGTGGCGATGTGCTGCCCCCAAAAAACTCGCCGTCACGCACCTCCAATATTCAGAGTCTTCGCCCCTCGGAAGATTATCACGCTAACAACCTTCTCTCTAGACATCGCAGTCTTTATAAACTCAAAGTCACCTTCGCCTGACGCGGAGAGTCGTCCGAAAACATATCTCAAGCTGGCTATCCACGCAGGGATCCCGACTATTGCTAGCGATTTTCTTCGCCGTAATATGAGGTCGCCTATTCCAGGCGAGGTAATGGACATTGGCAACTTGATGAATCAAAGAGGTGCCGCCGCTATGCAACACATTCACAACGGAACTACTCCCGAACGTCAAATGCATCAACTCCCCCAACTCACCGCGAGAAACATGCCCGAACCACCGATGGACCGTGCCGGTTCTCCCCACGGCTCCGAATACTCCCAACACTCCCGTCACACAATGGAAGGCGTCCCGCGTTCCTACCCTTCACCCAGTGCCATGGTCGGCGCTCCGATGCAGATGCAGATGCCTGTCTCCCATATGGGACCCGGCCCTGTAATCCTGCCCGGAATCCCTCAGCATGATATGTCTCAGGGCATGCCTCAATACAAGGCACCCGAGCAGCAGGCACCTCAGCAGCCCACCAAGGCTTATCCGTGCAGCACATGCGGCAAGGGCTTTGCTCGCCGAAGTGATCTTGCCCGTCACGGTACGTTATGTATGCTGATCTATGAAATTCCATCTCTAACCTTTACTTCCAGAACGCATCCACAGCGGAATCCGCCCTCACGTTTGCGACTTCCCCAATTGCGGAAAGCAGTTCATCCAGCGATCTGCTCTCACTGTCCATCAGCGAGTCCACACCGGAGAGAAGCCTCACATGTGTGAGCGCTGTGGCAAGGTAAGCTGACTCTCCAACGAGGAATCCTGTCTTGTGCTAATAAATGCCTTAGCCTTTCAGCGACAGCAGTTCTCTGGCCCGCCACCGTCGTATCCACTCCGGCAAGCGTCCGTACAAGTGCCCGTATGCCGATTGTCAGAAGACGTTCACTCGCCGTACTACCCTGACCAGACATCAAAACCACCACACTGGTACAGTAGAGGAGGCCGCTGCGGCTACCGCTGCTGCTCTGGCGGCTCGTGGAGCCACTGGCAAGCCGAACACGACTCGTTCTGATGGAGATGCCATGTCCAACCGTGGATCGCCTCTTACCACGCCTTCGCCTGGCCAGCGCACCCTTTCGATGTCCCCCAGTGCCGACAGCATGCACCGTGCCAACTCCGAGTTCCAGTACATGGGCAACAGCTCACTCCCGGTTCACCTTCAGCGAGACATGCATGTTGGCAGCCCGGCATCGACATCTTCTGGAGGTTACAACACTGGTATGCGACCTACCTCGCACCCCACCAGCTATGGACCGCCTCCGACACTCGAGCCCAGCGTCGAGCAGCACTCTGGCCCCGGCAGTGCTGGCGGTAGCCCTCACATGGGTTCCGTCGGATGGCAGTCTCCATCGCACGTGCCGTCGCCCTCGCACAGCAGCAACGGTGGTGGCTACACCTACCCCGATCCCGATGCCTACCCCTCTGCGCCTTCGCTTGGTGGTCAGATGTTTTACGGCAACCCAGCTCAGGTCCGCCGCCCTCAGAGCACTGAGCCCCCTGCTGGAGCTTATGATATTAAGGGCCGTCAAGGCGAGCTGTGGGCAGGTGCTCACTAGGGACGGCACATGTAACACTATCGCCAGCAGTCACTCCTTGAGTCTTTTGGGATTACCAGGAATGCAGATGGCCAGAAAGATTTCCTTGGTGTGGATTCATCTTCTTCTTCTTTTTGCGGTACGAAAAGTTTGTGCATGGCAAGGGTGGGGACGGTAAATAACATACAACTTTAATATTGCGGGCTGCACCGGGACAAGGTCAGGAAGATACCAAGGGGCGGGCAGTCATCCGGTTTGTTTTACAACCGCCTTTTCTTTTGTTATCATAGACTGGCGGGAAGCACACACACTTCATGATGGCTGGGTCTCCATGGGCATTGGCTGGAGGCAAAAAAGGTTGGGAGGAGTTCCCAGACAGGACATGGCGTGCGCTTGAGCAGCACGCCGACGGAATTGGCGGAGACTCGCTCGAGAAAGGAACGTGCCTCTTTTTTTTTTTTCTGATATGCAATGTTTTGTATGCAACACTGTACTCTGTACTAGACAACGAATGCGCGTAGCAATCTGTTTCTCTCCTCAATTGTTCAACTTGTTACTGATGCTTGCATGTTCTTCCTCCTGCATTACAAAAATGCTGAAGATGACGGAGCTAGAGCCGTAAGGTGACCGGGAGAGCTTGAGGACCGATCTCATGATGGTCAGTGTGCGCGTGCATATCTGCTTGCCGCGTGCGGCTTACCTGTGCATCATCAGTGGAGGTGGGATTTAATCTAGATCCCGTTGGAGGGCGATCCGGGGTTGGCGTGTGTGTCCCACTACTTAACGCACGCTGCACTTGGCGGTTGGTTGATTCCCAGCCGCAAAAAATGTCGCAAACTTCGTACATAAGTGTTACAAGGCGAACAGGATGTGCGTTGCGCATTCATTGTCATGTTTTGTGGAAAGTTGAGTTGGTGTTGTGGAATGATTGGTAGATGTTTATTGAACATACTCTATTTATATTTGCTCGTGTACACACGTACGCACTCACACTTAAAATCATCATCGCTGTCTCTTACTCAGCACGCATTCTTTCTTTCTGAGATGGAGAACATGTGTTCAATGAAGCCTTTGTGGAAGGTAATTGAATGACAAAGTAGATGTCGGTCGATTGCCCCTCGTTGTAACCCATGCCATAATAATGATTACGTTACTGCGCTGTTGAAGGCGTGCTCTTCAAGGACCACATGAAACATGAAGAAAGATGATAACGATCATAGTAGTAACAGTGGCAATAGCAATAGTGGCAGCAGCAACAATGGTGGTTGCAATGGTGAGAATGGAGCTAAGGTATTGAGCGACATATGAATCACTTGGGAGGGTGCAATGTGGCAGGCAGCGGGTGGTTATTGTGTGAGGGTCCCGCTCGGTGTCATGTAAGAGGTTTCTTGGCCGACTTTCGTTACGGCATGACCAAGACTCGAGGCCTACTACCCTGTCAAAATACTTACCTCAAAGTGGTTATCATCCATCGGTGCCATTCGACCAAAAGATGCCTGCCTCTGCGTGAGATTGAGACGGATGAGAGTGCAGCAACTGAAGGGGAAAATAACAAAGTCGATAGACTAGGAGAGAGTGAGACCAAAAGTCCGGGCAATGCGACGATAGTAGCGAAGAAAATGGTTGGCGGTAATATATGTGGACCAGTACCCGAACCGAACCGCCGAGGTTCACGAAACGAATCCGAGGCGATTCCTATTTTTTCTCCCTCTCACGTCGCCTTTCTCATCTCCATACTTTGTACTTTTGTCTGTTCACGTTTGGATGAAATCAGAAATGATGATATAATCAGAAAATCAAAAAATTCCCGGGGGTGGGAGGCGAGGCACATGGCGTTTGTTGCCCCGAGTCCCGGATTCAAATCAAACTTGCGCCTTTCCGACTTTTGTGGTGAGCCGTGTGGGAGATGATTAGTGAACTTGTAATTGAGTGGCCTTGCGAAAGTCTTGCCCATGGTTCAGAGTGAGAGGGGGGGAAGCCGGCGGGATGCGGTGGGATCTGACATTTCCAGTCTTGAATCCGAGAAGCCGGGTGCGAGATATTACGAGTTCTTTCATGGTTCTTTTTTCTAGTCATAACGTTATGAACAAGAGGTGATGATGTCGTGACGGTCCTTTTTCCAAGCACCTCGGGTTTCGGGCTGCTTAGGTGGGGAGAGCGCGCGCGCGCCGGAGAAATTGGTCATTCTTCTTTGGATTAGTAGTCGAGAAAAAAGAGAAAGACAAGAGTACGAGGTTGTGGGTGTGTATCCGGAGAGGAAGGACGAAGAGTAGGATTATGTTTTATTTTTCCCAGTCTTCTCTTACTGTTCTCCCGAAGGGTGACACATTCGAGAGAAGACAACACAAGGCAGGGGGAAAAGTGGTCCGTCCTCGCTCTCACTCGCGTTTCCTTGGGAGCGACGTTTATTAGTTTATCAATCACCCAGCCGCGCTGAGCAAGCTACGAGCCCGTTGATTAGTATTCATTTCGATACTTTCGTTCCTTGGACCTTGCGTCTTTGATTCCAAGTAGGCAAGCTTAGCAGGGTACTTTGGTCTTCCTGCCTCGTTTCCAAGATTTTTCCCCCTACCCAACCCACGCGTCCACCACCACCACCCATACGCAAACACATGCAAACACACACACGCACACCATATGCCAACAATGTGGGATTAGACTGGTGGTGCAAAGCCATGAGATGACGGGGAGTCCACGGCGCAAACAACCTATTATATATCCGCAAGATCGCCGCAACTTCTGACAAAGTTGGCGCAGTTTGTGGAAAGGAAACTCTAATACCCACACCTTCTTCTATTCTTTCTCTTCCCCCCTTCTCTCCCCTACTAGCTGTACTTTAGCTGCCCCTTGACGTTCCCGAAGATTTCCAGAAGGGTGCAGCAAGTTCAGTTTGATCCCAAAATCCACACACATCCGGTGGCTGTTCCCCGACAGAGTTTATTGTTTGAACCCGGGCGCTGTCAAGTCCAACCTTCGACCTTGGGTTGACAAACTGGACCGACCCTCTGTGGCTTACACAAACTCGCCCAAAACACGCCCTTGGCGGGTGCCGAGAAACCACGACAGAAGGCATAAACGACGCCTTGGTGTCTTTTTCTCATCACTCGTTTACTCATCAGATTCGAACAGCCAAGTGATTCCATTTTCATAATCGACAATCTCATCATATTTGTTTTTCCCCCAGCGGTCTACCATCGTACGGCATATCCTTGACGAACACTACACACCACGCGGCCAACCTCATCGCCCATCATTCACCGTCATCACATAAAACCCCCTTCGTCAGTTTAAGGCAAGACTCAACGACAACACAACAATAAAGGTAGCCATCTATCGAGATAATTACAGAATGACGGTCATCAAAATCGAGGCCGTCACGGACCTGCTGTGTCCGTGGTGCTACGTCGGCAAGAGGAACCTCGACCGCGCAATCTCACAGTACCGCGCCGCGGACCCTACCGCCGAGTTCGAGGTCGTGTGGAAGCCGTTCTATCTGAGCCCGGCGTTGAAGAGCACCGGTACGTTGTTTTCGTCTTCTCCATTACTCTTCACTGTCTGTTTTCCCTGCATTTTAGAGCATGTCTTCCGCTTCATATCCTTTTGTCGCAGAGGAAAAATCTCACTCTCATGTTCCCTCACTCCCACTTACACCAAAAACCCAATGACACCCTCGCATCCCCCCTTCCTCATCCTTTCACATCAACCGCCAACTTATTTCACAGCTCCAACACCACACCCATGAGAATAAGAACACAAACAAGCAGTTTTCCTCCTAACACAACCTCAAAAAGGCTACGACAAACGCGAAATGTACACAACCCGTTTCTCCCTAGCAGGCGACCTCCCCGCCGCCCTATCCCGCATCACCTCCGCCTGCACACAAACCGGCATCGCCCTAAACGTCACAGGCCGCACCGGCAACTCGCGCCAGTCGCACAAGCTCCTGCGCCTCGCCCTCGTCTCCCGCGGTCCCGCAGCCCAAGACGCCCTCCTCGAGGCGCTCTTCAGGGGCCACTTTGAACTCGGCGCAGACATCTCGAACCGCGCCTACCTCGTCAAGACGGCCGTCGAGGCAGCGGGGCTGAAGGAGCCCGACGTCGAGGCCGCGCTCGATAGCGATCGCGCGGGGGAAGTCGTCGACGAGGAGGTCATGGACGCGAGGAAGGCGGGGGTCACGGGGGTGCCGACGTTCACGGTGCAGGGGCGGTGGAGGGTTGGTGGGAATCAGGAGCCGGATGTGTTTTTGAGGGTTTTTGAGCGGGTTACGGAAGGGTGTTGAGTTTCTTGGTGGTGTTTTGTTTCCCTTCTCTGTTAGGGGGGGTTTTCCTTTCCTCTATCGAGCCATGTTGAGAGGAATGAGGATGATGTGAGAAAGGGAGAGGAGGGGGTGGGAGGCATGTCCTGTCTGTTCGTTTGGCTTCTTGTTTTATTCTCTTGTTGACTTTTCAGCGATATGGCATGGGGGTGGCAATAACATCATTTCCCATAGCACGGCATCAAAGAATGTAGTAATGTTGGATATTCATCATTCTTCTTTTGTTCTTTGTTTTAGGGTGTAACTTTCATAGTTCCCTGCCTCCCGCATGAGTGAAATGCTTGTTCTCTGCATCAACTGCGGCACAAAAGCCCGCTATGAACCTGCCCATCCATCTATAAGGGAAAAAGAACTGACACGGAGAAAGGACAGCAATGCCTGTCCCAGGTCTTTGCTAAATGAAGTTTGTCCGTCCGTTCGTCGTCTCTCTCCGCCGTCCAAACCCAGAACGCCGTTTGGAAAATGCAATTCCCTGTATATAAACACTGGGTAGCCCGTGTCTACCGCTTCACCATGTGGCTGTAATCCTTGAGCAGATGCTCCATATGCGTATTAGTCGTCTTGCCGGTGCGCCTAACAGCCCGTTTCTTCTGCTGCTTCTTGGAGTCGACCTTTTTGATCGTGCTGGGGTCGGCGCTGGCCGGCTTCTGGCCCACGGAAACAAGCTTCTTGACAATGTCGTCGGTGGAGGGGACCTCGACAACGTTCCACATGCGCTTGAACTCGTCGTCGACGTGGTGGTGCAGCGTCGCGTCGTCGAGCCAGATGGCGCGCGGGTGCTGCTCCTTCTTGGTCTTGACGATCAGGATCTTGTGCTCGCGCTCCAGCTCCATCAGTGCCTGGTCGCAGTCGGGCCACCCGTCCTTGAGGTCCTTGACGTTGGTCCCCTCGGCGTCCCGCTTGCTTTGCAGGTGCCGCAGGAGCGTCATCTTGTCCTTGACGCCGGGGATAATGGGCCGGTGGACGTACGTGCCCGTCCGCCATGTCTGCTCGGACATTTTCGGATCGGGCACCCACTGAATACGCGGATGCCGCCGCATGCCCTCCACCAGCTGCTGCTTGTGCTTGTCAGTGCTGCGGGTCTGGCCCAGATGGTCAAAGATTTCGGTCGCCGTCTTGGGCTCGTCCTTGCCCTTGAGCCACTCCAGCGCATACTGCATCTGTGTAAAGACCTCCTGACCAAAACTAGTGTTCTGAGGCTGCGAGTACACAATTGCGTTGGGGTCGCGCTTCCGCTTGCCCGATGCGGTGGTGTCGTTCTTGGATGCTGACGCCATGCTGCTGACGGACGGGGAGGGTGACGGCGGCGCAAGAGATGTGCTCTTGGATTGCAGCTTACTCGCGGCCGAGGCCAGCGAGCTGCTGAACATAGCCTTCTGCTTTTCGAGAAGGGAAGACATGATGGGCAATAGTGGGGGGTATTCGATGCCGTAGGAGATGGTCTTTCCGAAGCTCGTGGCCTTCCTTGCGGGACGTTCGTAGTGGCGTCAGAAAGAGGTACTATCCAAAGCCTGACGCAAGGAGCTATAGTCGTGGGCTGATTTACGACGTGACTGGCCGGGAGGTGTTCGATATAGTGAGGATTTGGCGTATCTCAGCTCAAAAGCTACCACGTCGAAGGCCGCCTTCCCGCGAGGAGATGCTGCCAGAAGAAACCCTCTCAATTCTTCTTCCTTCGTCTCGACCGTATCAGAATCTTTCGTGTCAATCCAGATCGATCGTCGCTCGCGGGTCGCACCGTTGTTGTCCTCTCTCTTTCAATCGTCGAGCTATCCCAGCTTCAGCCTCCAAAAGTCGCCGACCGTATTCCTCTCGACTCGATCGCTAATCAGCCCGGAAGCCTGCAAATATCCGAAATCTTTTTGTCGCGGTTCGCTTTTACCCCGCTTATATTCGTCCGCGTCGCGAGGTTGACAGCCGATGTGTGAGAGAAGCGAAAAGGTTGCTTTGTCGATACAATGGAAAGTAATGAACTTCAAGGTGCTTGGCTGTCTGCCTGCTGCTGGTCAGTTCAATTCTCCAGGAAGGGACGTTCGATAATGTGGCGCACGGACGTGGCTGGTGAATGGGTGGAGACTGAAGAGTGAGATAACTCAGCCACGGTGCAATCCGGTTGGTTCGGAATACGGAGACGCCCCGATTCCGCTTCTCGCGCATAAAAATTCCGAGCTGATGGGTTCCAGGATTCTAACACATTGAGTCTCCGAGATTAACAGCATGGGCGAGGGACCTGAACGCGGGTCATAACTTGCACGGGCCATGCTGGCTCATGGAAACACCAGGTTGACGCAAGAGTGGTAACTTTCTTGGGAGAAGCGAAGGTTGATTTCTCAGGGCAATTTGTGAACGCAAGTATGCGGCAACTCGTGAATCTGTAGCAGCTCAACCTTCAATCTTCGTGGGCGAAGTCACTGTGACTGCAATCTCAATTGCCGTACCCAAAGCTCCGTCTGTTGATCTCACTGCTAAGCGGTTTGTACAATCACCAAAGAACGCAATGCTTTAAACGATTGCGTTATCGTGTGCCTAGAGCAACGACGCCCACTACCCAGTATATCCAGTGCGGAATCTCCAACAAAGTATCATGACCAGAACGTATATTCTATTAAAAGCATATCTTCTCCCGGCAGATTCGGTTCGGCCGTTGCTCGACCAGCCAGATCCTCTGCCTGTGAATAAAAGCTCCCCTGTAACCCGTCTGCGCCAGCTCGTAACACATCCATGGGACCTCAAGGTGACGCAAAGGCTTTCAAAACAAACCTTTGCGCCCTCCATTTCTCTCGCTCTTCAAACCCAAGTTTCCGCCTGTTGAAGACAATGACCAGAGCCCCCGCCTTCATCGCAGTGGCGGCGGCGCGCGCATCCTCGTTTCCCCCTTTTCGGGGGAGCGGCGGTGGCGATCGTGGTGGGAGCCCCTTAACCCTCTCAGCATTTTCTGCTTTGCTGTAAAAAGAAGTCCAAGACCGTAGCAATGCAGCTGGTGTCTTATGCGGACTGCTGCTGTTGCTGCTGCTGGTAGTTGTAGGCGACGTATGCGAGGACGCCACCGACGAGGAGAACGGCGTACAGGCCGATGCCGAAGCCGGGGCTCTCGGTGCTGGAAGCTGAGCTGCTGGCGGCAACCTGCTTCTTGGGGGCAGGGTCTCCGGGCTGTATAAAGGGGGTAAGTCAGCACGATTGCTTTCTGCAGCTCGGACGTTGCGCGCGCGATCGCGGCAAAGTAAGAATCATTGCTTTGACTCACCTGGCGCTTCAGGTCACCGAGGTACAATTGGTCCAGGGTCTCGCGGGCCTCGTCGCTGTGTCCGACATCCTCGAAAGCCTCGGTGGCATCCTGACCACCGACGTCAAGAAGAACCTCCTCGCCACCGCTGTCAAGGAAAAAGAGGTCAGTTGGAGGTACTCGTCGAGAAAAATTGAAATCCTTAGGACGAGGGGTACTGGCGCGAGAGTGGCGGGAGGCAGAAGCAGGTCTAGCTAAGTACTTACGGGTGCTCGTCGACGAACTTGGTGCAGTCGTAGATCTTGTCGTGGATCACCATGTAGATGTCCTTCTTGGTGTTGTGCTCAGCAACATCCTGGTAGGTGAGTTCGACAGCGCCCATTGTGACTGATTTGTGTGTAGAGAGACGGTAGAGGATTGTTGTTGGTAAACGTGGCTCCTATTTTTTCTTCCTTCCTTGTTTATCGGAGGGGTGGGAAGTTTGTTGAGGGTCCTTGCTGATTTGGCTAGGATTCGGTGTGAAGAATTCGATTCGGTTTGCGCAACACAGAGCGGAGGGAAAGAATCGCAGGCGGAAAAGTTTGGCTTTGGGGATGAGATTAGGTGAGAGAGGAAGGGTAGGTTTTTGGGTGCAGGAGGAAGTAAGGAAAAAGGAATCGGACGAGAAGGAGGTCCCTCGGATGTTGTTGAGCCCGTTCACACTGCTTTATCGCGGGACCCCGTTAAAAATCGGGGGGGGGAAAGCGCAGCACTTTGCGGACTGGGACTGACAGCTGATGGAAGCTTCCGCTGGGACCAAGCGGTCACTACCTGTGGACACCTCACAACAGTACTGGGCTTGGTACTAGCAGTCCGCTCAGGGGTGGACGGTGTCTTGAGCCAATGAGAAAAGAAGAAATTAGTGCACAGTTGCCGTGATTCGCTGGAGTGAAAGTGGGCCGAGGATACTTAACAGAGGCACCACAGTAAGGCAGGCGGCAGCACAAGGAAGAAGGTGCGATTTCAAAGGGGGGAGCCAATTTAGCTGGCGGAACTTGGTACCTTGTAGAGTCAGGACACTACCTGAGTAGGCAAGTAAGGTATTACCGGTAGGTATGTGACAATGGAAAGGACCCGACTACTTCCACAAGTTCCATGGCCTTCTTGCTTAGACCAGAGAGGAGAAGCTCGCCGGCCTCCTTCTCGGCATCGCACTCGGGTAGTTGAACCCCAGCCAGACAGACATTTGACACCCTTCCAAGGCTGCCACCGTTTGACGCATAGCTCACATCCTGTTCACATACCCCAAGTTCTCACATTCAGGCCAAGGTAATTCGTATACTCGAGTCTCACTCACCTACAACACCCGCGTCGATTTGCCATAGCCATCAACCGGAACCAAGGACCTTGGGCCAAGGCAAAACTGCCTTTCCTGGACCAGCCACGTCTTCCTTCGCTTCACCCCGCCCGTTGATACTCCCAAAGCGAATTGTCGAGTCAGGGCTCCCGCTGCAAAACTTAAACACTCGCCGCTTAGTACCGGGGGTTACTTCGTACCTAGTCTTCCACCTCTTTACCGCCCCCAGCTTCCGCGGTCGATCGACACTTTGAGAAAGAAAGAGAGCACGTTGCTAGCTCGTTTCGAAACGCATGGCCCCTCCAATCCTCCAACGGGGCGGAATCACATCGGTGTCCGCTACCGAAGCGGTTCTATTATGCAAAATGCCCTTCTACGCAGTATTCGGTACAGCTTGTATAACAGGAATCTTGGAAGAAAACGACTGCAACGTCTCCCCAAGCACACCGAGTGTCTGTCTGTACTCTCCACAAGGGTCCGGCACGGCCTCTCGTCTTCGGGGTCAAATTCCCCAGTTATTCGTGTTCGTAAACTCGCATTGCCAATCGCTGCTGCTTCCCACGCCTTCTCGTGGTTCACCAACAGCCCGACTGCAACACCAAGTCCCGCAAATGCCCACACGTACCGCTGCAAGGTCATTGTTCCCAAATCCCGCTTCCATGGGGAACGCATACCGTCCCCCACCCTTGCCATCTGCGCCGTTCCCTCCCCTCGTCGTCAATCGACTCAATACTGACGCTATCGTTCCGTCGGATCTTGCCTTATCTCGCCGTTCCGCGGGGTTTCCTGGGCTGGACTAGGTGAATTAGCCTGGCTCTCCGGGCTGGGAGTCTGGACTGGACCAGCTGGGGCACACATGTACGGGATACACTACTACACTGCATGTCTGTACCTCGCATCTGTGACATCGCAAATAAAGGGCTGCTCACACACAAACACGCACATACACTTCGGACGGACTGATCACTGACCATTAAAAGAGTCCGCATCCCACGGAGCATACGGGCAGTCCAATTCCTCCAACGGAACATTGCCTCAGCCATCATGAACTCACGAAATACAAAAGAGAGAGAGGCCAGCATCAACTTTCCTTGATTCTCCGAACGACACGTTTTCCTGACGTATGGAACTTATCGAGTGTCCAATTCCGCCGTACGGATATTCCCCCCCAATCCCGCAACCCACCCTTCGGGAAATTCGGGATGATGCCGAGGCAGTCCCGTGCGGTCTCCGGCCTCCGGTATCGTCATTCCCCTTGAACTCCCTCCCGAGTGCCAGGCTTCCCACTTGTGACTTGGTATGAGCCCAAAAGGCGGGGAACGCGCGGGGTAACAAGATTGAGATTCAGGCCTCAGCTCTTGACTCTTTTTTAGATAATCGGCTGCGATAGCTCTTTTCTTTATGGGCGGTCGTGAAGATGTCATCGCGATATGTTACCCGATTAGGTTATTTCCGCCGGTTCGATTGACAATTCCGTCTACCACACATTTCCTCCTCTATTTTCTAGACGGTTGCTGCAATGGACAACCTGATGGCCCGAAAGCTAAAAGGGGTAATTCAGTTGCATTCTTTATCTGCTAGATTTCCTTCAGTCTCTCTGTTGAGGTAAGAGGTGACTTCCGCAGTCTATTTTTGTCAACACCCTTCCCAGGATCACACGTGGGAATGAAGCATACGTCCTTACCAAGGTACTTCTTTGCACTGGAGACCCTCCTGACAGCAAAAGTGATGTGTTGGTAAAGAAAGCTTTTTAAACCATTCCTAGCTTTGGCATGCTGAATGCACCAGTCGAGCAAACACTCTATACGTAGCCCTTAACAATCAAAAGACTCTCTCTTTCTGTCCTTCTTCCCCCACTCTCTCTTTATTTCCGGCCACCGCCAATATCCTGGCCCAGCCTGTACGAGGTAATCTTGTCCCACTCAATCTTCTGCCTCGTCACCGGCAGCTGTCGTCGCAGGCCCTTGAACGCGCCCTCGCTCAGGCTCGTGAACCCCCTGTTGAGCTCCTCCTGGTACTTCTTCTCCGACGCCGCAATCTCCTTGACGATGCCCGCGCCCGTGCCCGATGACACCGACGCCTGGCTGGGCCGGCTCGTGAGCAGCCTGACGTTGCCGTCTTCGTAGTAGTGCACGTCGACCTTGACGGAGCCCTCGAGGGCCTCGGAGGAGGGGTCGAAGATGTACACTGATCGCCATCGGCCGTTCCTGATGGTAATCCCACGGGTTAGTACATGCACCCGCGGCGGTGGGGAACGCTTAGGGAAGAGCGCTATAGGGGTATCACGTACCAGAAGTTGTTGGGAGAGTACTTGTTCGAGACGATTATGACGGCAACCTTGGAATCGTTCTCGGTGGGGTAGACGCCGTACGCGGCGTTGGGGAAGTGTTCCTGGACATAGGGGCTGAGGCTCTTCAACGTCGACTTGCTGTTCACGTAGCTCTTTCTCAGCATCACTGTCCTCATCTTGTTGTCTCGATTCCCGTCAAAAAAAAAACCTACATCAAGTCCGAGTTGGCGCTCTCCAAAACGTAGCTCTGCACGTTGCTCGCCTTCTGTGTGGTGTGGTCAAAGGAGAAGCTCGTGGAGCTCTCCACGTCAAAGTATTGGCCGTCGCCGAGCGAGCTGTGCGCGCTAACAATGACCTGCTGGCTTCCGCCTGGCAGCTTCACCGTGACGAACTGCTCCTCGTTGTACTTTTCAAACGCCGGCTCGAGGCTGGACACGATCTCGGGGTCCGATACGGTGAGCGACTTGATATCTTTGCGACGGTGTTAGCAGTTCGTTCGGAGCTGTCGGCCCATGCGTCTTCGTGGCAGAATTGGGGGTTAGGGTAGGCAAGTGCGGTTTACCTGCAATAACATCTGCGAGCTTCAATTGAGGTCAGCTTGGGGTGCGGTTCGCGACGTCATGCGCGTCGTAAGGGGATGGAGCTCGAGGCAAGTGGGAAGGTACCTCGCCTGGGGGAGCACCCTCCACGAAGGAGGACACGGTCTCGACTTGGGACATTGTGAGGTTGCAATCTAGTGCGGCGAAAAGAGTCAAAGGTTCTAGTCGCGCAATCGGTCTGTCGTTGAGTCGGTGACGATTGCGGCTGTACGGAGTAAATGGAGAGCTGTCTGCCTCTCTCGAACGTTGAAACGTAATGCGGGGCAGTTGGAGGCGGGACATGGGGAGGGGCGGATTGGCTGGGAAAGGGGGTTAATTGTTAGCGCGGGACCTCCACTTGAGCTGAAGGAAGTGGACTCATGGTGTACTTCCCCATCACGAAGCGAACATGTCAACGGGTTCGCTGCTACCTGCATCCAATTCATATCCAAAGCTAGCAGAACATTACTTATGAAGTTGTATGGCATGTCATTAAGGGTATGTGCTATGTTTTGAATTTTCTTCTTCTTTATTTTCCCTATCACTCCTGGTCCCCTACCAAGTCTCAATAATCCAGAACCCGCTTAATATTGTCATAAACCCCTGAGATACGTTAGAAATCGTTGCAGCATTTATCATGGGGAGGCAACACTTACTTGCAACATCAGGGATGTTGAACTTCTCATAAAGCAACGGGGTGTGAATGCTCCATCCAGCAACTCTTGCAACCGGTGCCTCCAGCCTCAAAAAGGTATCAGGATCCTCCTGGATCGTGGCAGCAACCTCAGCACCAATACCAGCATTCACCATCGCTTCGTGCACCACGATGCAGTGGCCTGTCTTGCGCACGCTCTGGAATACCGTCTCCTTATCCCAGGGGTACAGCGTTCTAAGATCGATGAGCTCGACAGAGATGCCCAGCTCCTCTTCGGCCTTTTGTATAGCCGACATGCAAGTATACAGCGGCTGTCCGTACGAGATAATCGTCACGTCCTTGCCCTCCTTCAGCACCTCCGCCTTGGACAACGGCAGCGTGTACGCTCCCGCGGGCACCTGCTCGACGGCCGCGCGGTACAGAATCTTGGGCTCCATGAAGATGCACGGGTCATTGCTGCGGATGGCCGCCAGCAACAGACCCTTTGCTTGTAGAGGTGACCGTGGCATAATCACCCGCAGAC